CCTCCTCAGCACCAGAGGCCACCCTGCCACAGCCTGTAAGAGAAACCTCTCTGCCAGCCCCAGGACTGGAGCACAGTCCAGCAGCCCCTCCCTCCAAGGGTCCTCTTCCAGTCTGCATGAAAGCTGGTGGTGGAGGGCCCAGGCTGCAGTGGCACAAAGGAGATGAGGTGCTAGGCTAGCTGCTTGCCATACCAGGGCAGGACAGCGCATTCAGGGTAAGTCCTTGCAGGATACTGGCCAGTGTGCAGAGCCACCTCAGGAATACCAGCACCTGTCAGCAATACAGCTGAGCTCTACTATATCCTAGCCTACTTGAACTGGGGACTGGGAAAACAGACTTGCTAGATCTACTGGTTGGTAAGGCCACAGCCCTTCCCTGCTGGCTCTTGTACCCCAGACCCTGCTCAGTCACCATCTACAGGGAAAATCCTGACTCTTGGGGAGACCAGTGAAAGCCTGAGGCCAGAGCAGGTCCTGCAGTGATTTTTGTGTCTGCTCTTGTGAAAGGGGCTGTACAACTACTTGCAACCAATAGATGGAGTTACTTAGATGCAGGTCAACTTGTTACTTGGAGTGCTTTTTTTTTAGTTGAAGAAAGTGGATCTACAATTCATTCTTCTTGTGTTTTACTGTGCACATGCAATTGTGGTCTTAGTTTTGTTTTTTTTCTTCTGCAAGTGTTCTAGTACAAGTCATGGGAGGTTTCCTGTCTGTGAAGGATGAATGCCTTTTGTACATGTAAGGATGTCTTTGGATTCAATCTAATGCTTTCCTGGAGGACCAGAAATGTTCGTCTCAGATTTACAGCATCAGGGAGTTGGCCTAGATAAGTTGTTAGTCTCTAATCTTCTGCCTTTTCTGGTAGTTGGTTGGAGAAGATTGCAGGTAGAGGTGGGTCTTTCTCCAGATGAAGTATTTTAACTGGAGAATCCTGTGACTGAAACTGGAACCTTCTCTATCCAATTAAGAACCTAAAAGGTAAGTAGGAAAACAAATACTGGGCCAATAGCTAACAACTCTAAACTAATTATACATAAAATACATGCACTTATGACATAAACATTTAAAAATATTTCAGGGCCCAACAAAAGCCTCAGTGGCCCCGTTCACACGGAGAAGTTGCCATGCTGAAGACACGGATGATAGGCAGATTTTCCTGGTGCGATCAAGCCGCAACATCTGGCAAGCATAGTGCACCTGTGGGTAACCTGTGGCTTGTTGCTGAAGATGTGGAGTAAAAACCACCACATATGATGTACTAGTTTCTGGAAAATGCGGGGCAAGGGTGGGCATCTGATCGTGTTACCGCTGGAAACCTGTGGCATCTGGCGCCCGCCCAGGTCCCGTTGCAAACCGGATGTTGTTTTTTTAAAGTCTCCACAGGATGCGCACAAACTATCATGCACATGCACAAACTTCGGTGAGACCAAAAAAAAAATCCCGTTTGCCACGGAAGCAGCGCGGCGCGATTGCTGATCACGCTGTGCTGCTTCTTTGCTGCACTGCAGACTAGCCGTGTGATCGGCACCTAACAGACTGACCACGGGACCTCAATGGGACGTCTGATCAGGCTGTCGCATGTTACTTTGTTTCGGGGCAAACAGCCATGTCCCCCCCCCCGCATTTTCCGGCCCATGTGACCAGGGCCAAAATATAGTAAAAAAATAACACATGCCTAGGAGAGCTGTTAAAGAAGAAGAAAAAATGAGTAAGTAACCATTTGAAATGCTATGTCCAATTGCAAAATATATTATTGAAACCACATTTAATTTTACTTACTTCAAAAAGGAAATCAAAAGACACAAGAAAAGTATTTCATATGAGGCCTCCTAGAATCTAGCCTAGTCATAGGCCCCATATGAAATACTTTTCTTGTGTCTTTTGATTTCCTTTTTGAAGTAAAATTAAATGTGGTTTCAATACTATATTTTGCAATTGGACACAGCATTTCAAATTGTTACTTAAACACATTTCTTCTTTTTTTCTTCTTCCTTAACAGCTCTCCTGTTTTGGTCCTATATCTACCTGTTCATTGTCTTTTTATTGTAATAGGAGCCTATTTGTGCTTTATATTGCTTGACCTCTGAAGAAGGCCCGATTGGGTCAAAACATGTTAAGTCACTATTGCTTTCTTTTTACTATATTATGAGGCTTTTGTTGGGCCCTGATATGATTTTAAATGTCTATGTCATAAATACATGTATTTTTATGTATAATTAGTTTACAGTTATTCTTAGCTATTGGCTCTGTATTTGCTTTCCTACTTACCTTTTTAGGTTCTTGATTCAATTTTGTTAGGTTAAGTTCCCCCCTCCTTTTTTCTACCTTCTCTGTCATCGAGCTGTATCCCTTCCAACAGCAATGCAAAATCCCAGTGGAGAAACCCAAAGGTGCCACCTGCTTACAGGACTTTTTATATGCTGTGCTGTAGTGTGGTATTCCTAAGATGTTTGACCAGTCAACGTATAACTGCCCACAGGGAAAGCATGATCTAGAATAATCCTGTTTCTCTCAGTTAAAAAAAATCTTGAACAAAAGAACATCTATATATAAAAGAAAGTCCCCTCACCATAAAATCAAACCCTTGAACCTAGAAACACTCCTGCCATGGTGTAGATGCTCACTGAGAAGGGATTTTTAGAAGTTTGACCCCTAAAGGGGTCAAAAGGGGTACAATGTGCTCCCCCCCACTGTTTCCTATGTGGCTTCCAGGCTGCTGCCTCCTTGCACCACTCTCTCTCTGATTAATCAGCTGCAGAGCTCAGTGTTCTGAGGTTAAAAAAAAACAGTTACAGGAGACTGCACATAGCTAATGACAGTTGAGGAAACAACCACCTGTGAGGTGCAGTAATGCTGCTAGCCCAGCCTCTCTGATGGTTTCCAACACACTCCCCCCACCTCCTACACCTAACAGGTGGTTGTCTGTCAGGTGCAGCAGTGGTTGCAGGGTACTTAAAGCCATGAGGGAGCCCACCCCAGCAGTAATGCCTTAGTGATCCTGCCAGTCCCACCTCCACAGTGGCTTCTAGTACTCCTCCCCTGCCCCCTCCTACACTGGACAGGCAACTGCCTGTCAGGTGTAGGAGAGGAGGTGAGATGCTTACAGCTGCTGGGGAGGTTTGCTCAGTAGGATTGCCTTAGCCCTGCTGCTGGCCCAGCCTCCCTGATGCCTTTAAGCATAATCCCCCCCAACACCAGACAGGTGGGTGTCTGTCAGGTGTAGGAGCAGGACCAGGGTACTTTAATTAATCAGGAACGTCGCCCCAGCAGGATCTCCTTAGCAGTGCTGCTGACCCAGCTTAGCCACACTCCCACCCACAATGGAAACATACCCCAAATTTGTAGAAAACCTTTTTCCTTTATTAGGTTATTTAACTTCTCACAATGTGGGTTCTAGAAAATTGGTTCATATGAACTTGCTTAATATCTGATTGCTCGGATGGTGTTTTGAATACGTAGTTATGTCCCACTTCTTAAATATAACATAAATGAGAGGCAATTTTGTTAAAAAAAATGAGGGGTATTCTCTCCCCCCCAGTTCAATGCCCAGGCCAAACCCCTGCACCAAGAAACCCAAAATAAGGGGAGTGCATTCTTACCATGATGTCAAGCCCCTCACGAAGAGATTTCTGAGAAACATGACCCCCTAAGGGGGTAAAAGGGCAAAATGTGTTTCCCCAATTGTTTTCCATGTGCCTGGCAGGCTGCTGCCTCCTTGACCCCCTCCATTGGTCAACTGTGTACTTCAGAGTTCTGAGGTAAAACCTGTCTGTTTGCACCCACCTCCCTCTGATTGCTCAGCTGTGGATCTAAACACAGTTAGAAGAGACAGTTGAAGACAGTTACAGAAATCAGTGATTCAAGACTCCTGAATAGACATTTTCCAAAAAAGTCAGTATGGCAATTGAGTTAATGAATGTTCATGGGGAAATAGTAAAGGACCTTTCTAGGAGCCATTTTGATGTGTGCCTCCCTCATGAACCTGAAGAAATGTTCACCGCATCACCACTCCCTCACACCAACTCCCCCTCAACCTCTCACCTCTTACTGCCACCAAGAAAGCTCCTGACAAACATCGAGCCAGATACACCAACGCTACAAGGAGCAGGCAACTTAGGAATGTGGCAAAGACATTTGCACATAGTACTCCTGCGGTGCACTGAACTGTGCAGGTCAAGTACCAGTGAGATCACCCTGAGGTGCTCAGAATAACACTGTCTCCATAAGAGCAAACAATCCAGAAACACAAGTAGAAAGGCCACCACTTTTGTGGAAGGTGGCAGGAGTTGATGTAACAGATGACTGCTTCTTAAGTGGACATGTCTATATTGCCTGCTCCAGAGTGAGCTCACCAAGCAGCCTGGTGATCCTAGCACTTGAGGGCAGAACCACCAATGTGGTCTACAGAAAGGTCCTTCAGTAGAGAGAGAAAAAACAAGTATGTATGTCTCGCTTCATTTTTTACATTAAAATCTTCTCCGTTAGAATCCCTACAACAAATAGGAAATTCACATCATCAGTATTATAACTGGATTTACAGAACTTAAATACCATAGCGAAGCTCGGGTATCAGGCTAGTCTGAAATAAAAGAGAGCAAATTAAGAGGAAGAAAGATTGACTTGGATCCAATGAAGGATTTCTGTGGATAGAAGGGATTTCTATCCACAGAGCATGAGTTTCTTGCCTCTCCCTACTACAACCTCAAATACTCCCCAAATATTTCTCCAGGGACACAGGAGACCCCTGAGAATAGCATGAGGGGGGAGTTGGTGGTCTGCAGTGAGAGGGCTGAATTGCTCCAAAATTAGCCCCATACTTCCACCCAAAAAAATAATTTGGGGTTATTTCCAGTGGAAAGGATTAAGCCTGCATATCTATTTGCAGAATTACATGAAAATAAAGCCACAGGAATTTGTTTAGGTAAAATAGGAATACATATAAGATGGGTCCCATTAATATATCTAATTGAATCTTCAAACTATTTGGAAAAAAATAGGACCTGGTGTAAATATTCCAAACCCGGAGGCAAACTGGCAGCAGGCTGGGCTTTACAGATGGTGGTTGTCTCTGAAGGTTTCAGTTGCTCTGGAGGATCTGGAGAACCAGGAAGAGGATCCTCTAGGGTTTTGTGAATGTAGCCAGGAATATCTGCACGAAATAAACAAGTATTAAGAATGGGGGGCTTAACGTTTGTCAGTTAAAATTGTCCAGCATGACTGGTTTGTTTGTTGCAACCAATTGTAGATATTGAAAATGGTCACTGTACTAATCTTGTTTCCTTTTGAGTTTTGCATAGAAATATCACAGACTGTGGGTCGCATCCAGCAGTATTTATTTATTTAAAAACAATTGTGTGCCTTTTCCCCACCCAAATAGAGACTCCAAGACAGCAAACATTAAAAACATTTTGACATTAAAGCAGCATTTAAAATAAAGTGTACATTGGCCCCGGTTACATGGAGAATTTGCCAAGCGAAAGGCATGAATGTCGAGCAGATTTTTGGGGTGTGATCACACCACAACATCTGGGAAGCGTAGCGCACCCGTGGCCACCCCGTGGCATCCCGACGAAGATGTGGAGTTAAAAAGTACCAAGGAAAGTGCACTAGTATTCAGAAAACGCATGGCACAGGCGGGCATCTGATCACAGGAGCGCTATTATCCTGTGGCATCAGGCACCCGTCCACGTCCCATCGCAAACTGGATGTTTTTTGTAAGAGCATGTGCACAAACACGAAACTGAAAGCAGTGCTGCTCTGTGGAACTGCGCATGCGCACAAATGCGAAACACTTGTGTGATTGTGCCGCACCGCTTCTTTGCCATGCTGCAACATTGCTGTGTGACTGCCAGCTAAAATCCTAAGCATGGAGACTCGGGGGACCGTGTGATCAGGCTACCATGCTTTATTTTGCTCCGGGGCGAACAGCCACACCTCCCCCCCCCCCACGTTATCTGGCCTGTGTGACCGGGGCCATTAAATGTTTAACCAACTCAACAAAACATAAACACACTTAACAACAATCAGGGAGAAGAGCCAGTAACATTTATTGGGCGTAGACCAAACCAAATTTTTAGAAAAGCTTCACCTGCTTGCAGAGGACAATGATAGTGGGAGATGGCTGTATCTCCCTGGGGAGGGAGTCCCAAAGTGTTGGTGCAAGGACTGCGAAGACTCTTTCTTTGGTTGCCATACATCCAGCATCATATGGCAGGAACACCCAAAGAAGGCCTCTGAATATGACCACAGAATGGACAGGTAGGTTTATATAGGAAAAAATGGTCCTTCAGCTATGCTTGTTCTAAGCCATACTGGGCTTTAAAGGTCAATATCAGTAGCTTGAACTGAGCCCAGAAGTAAATTGGGAGCAAGTTCCAATCACACCGCCCCACCCGCCAATTAATAGAAATCTGCTGGATCCAGGCCTGTATCTTTTCAATATTTTTTTCTTTTCCTCTGCTATCTTCTGCTGCCTGAGATTTCACTTCGAACATCTGATGAAGTGAGCTTTGGTCCATGAAAACTTATTCTTTAGTGTTGTGTGGTCTTCTCACCCCCACTGAGATCAGTAAAGTGTGCACCTCCAAGAACCTTTGGCTTACATTAAGACCAGAGGGTCAGGAAGGATACCTCCAGTATCTTTTGGCCTTTAGTTGCTAAGAGTAAGGGAAAATACATCTATTTGTACTTTAAAAGTTTCTTGGTAAGAAACTCTCCTAGGAGGGGGTAACTTGACTTCCCTGATACAACAAAAAAGCATTGCTGAATGCTTGCACAAACCCCAAAAAGTCATTGCAATTATCCCTTGCACGAAGTCAACATGACCATATCCCATCTTATGTTTGCTGCTTGCACAAGATATAGTACGAGGCATATTATGGCCCCCTCTCTCTTCCCCTGGATAATTACTTTTTTGGATCAAATTATATCATATTTCCAAATTGGATTGTAATGGCCACATTGTATTGCCTTTGGTTTTTGGGCACAGCAACATTGGTGGGAGATGGCAATAGGAACTGCAGTAAGTAAAATTTCCTTTCTCCTGTTATGTGGCAGGATCCAACCCACTTTCCTTGTGACCTCCTGAAAAGGCCCCTCATTCCCAAAACTGCATCGGATGACAATCCAGGATGGACTATGCAGATGAAGGGATAGGGATAAAAAGGACTGCAACCTCGGCCACAAACACAGAGTTATTAGCAGGAATTATTTGATTTGATTCCCCTCCCCAATGTGCTTAGAAATCAAATTTGCCTTGCACTTCCCATTTTCTGTTGAGCCAAGCACCTGTTACGATCATGTTAAGTGGGTTTTTTTGCAGTTCAGTTTTGAATGCAGATCCCCACCCCAAAAAGTTCAAAGTGACCAAAGGAAGATCACTCCATTTATAATGATTAATATTTTTTTCTCTCAGTTGTCCTGGGCAGATGAATAGGGAGGAGAAAGGGAGTAGATATGGCAAAAAGCAGTGTAGCAATGTATATGAACGACGTGTTTGTGACGTAGACCCAAATACCTCCATGAAAATACACTGCTGAAAGCAGGCAAGATGGACAAGGGTAGAATAGAAAGAGACAAATCCTGTCTTACTTTAGAGTCAGGACCTGCTGGACTCTGCTTTTAGGTCATAGGATACCCCCAGAAGGGAACAAATCACTTTTGATTACAATGGTGTTTGTTAAGGTTTAACAAGCTATGGTTGTGGTTACACAACAATGCCAAAATCAAAGAAAGACGGGCTTGCTATCTCTCTCTTTTGAAGATGGGGATCCTTGACCATTTCCTTGAGATGTCACTCCATAGGGCAAATTGCTGGTTACAGGTCTGTGCAGCTCCCCATCAATCAGCAAGATCCAAAGACCTCGAGGCTTGCCCAGCCATGTAAAAGCTGCTACTGCCTAATTGCACCCATGCTCTAGTACCTGTCCTTGGGATACTTTCCCACAGGCAGGTCTGCTGACTGTCTTCAGAATTACCCCTGACTATGCACTAATATGCATATGCAGACGATACCACTCTAATGGCAGAAAGTGAAGAGGACCTAAAGAGCCTCTTGCTCAGGATAAAAGAGGAGAGCGCAAAAGTGGGCTTGAAGCTCAACATAAAAAAAACCAAGATCATGGCATCTGGCCCCATCACTCCTTGGTAAATAGAAGGGGAAGTCGTGAAAGTAGTGACAGACTTCACGTTCCTGGGATCCCAGATCACCACAGACTGTGACAGCAGCCATGAAATTAAAAGACGCCTGCTCCTTGGGAGGAAAGTGATGGCGAAACTAAACAGCATGATAAAAAGTAGAGACATCACCCTGCCAACAAAAGTCCGCATGGTCAAAGCAATGGTATTCCCAGTAGTCATGTATGGTTGCGAGAGTTGGACTATAAGGAAGGCCGAGCGCCGAAGAATAGATTCTTTTGAACTATGGTGCTGGAGAAGACTCTTGAGAGTCCCTTGGACTGCAAGAAGATCAAATCAGTCAATCCTAAAAGAAATCAACCCTGACTGTTCGCTGGAAGGCCAGATACTGAAGCTGAATCTCAAATACTTTGGCCACCAAATGAGAAGGGAGCACTCACTGGAAAAGACCCTGATACTGGGAAAGATTGAAGGTCAAAGAAGATGGGGACGGCAAAGGATGAGATGGTTAGACAGTGTCATAGATACAACGAACATGAAGTTGAGCAAACTTCAGAAGATGGCGGAAGACCGGAAGGCCTGGCGTGATCTGGTCCATGGGGTCGCGAAGAGTCGGACTCGACTGTGTGGCTGAACAACAACAACAATGCACTAATCAGCTGGGAGTCAGCAGTGCAGGCCTGAAGCCTGGGATGGAGTGAAAGTGGGCACAGAATGGGAATTCTTGGCGTTTTGTAAAGGTTCACTGTCTCCTCACCACACAATGGTCCTTTGTGTGTAAATCTGCTACAGCACCCTAGTCCTACAGCAGGTTCAACATCTGTTAGAAATCCACTTACAAACAGTATGGGCTGGCTTATACAGGGGCAGGACATAGCAATGGGGAAAGCAGTATGAAAGCACACGTGCACAAAATAACATTGAGAGCTTTTGCGGAGGATCCATTTTTATCTAAGCATCGAAGGCCATGGCTAACAATCTGAAATCAATTTTCAATCTGAACAGAGAGCTCATCCTTTGTTGCCAGGATAAGGCTTAGCTTTATCCCGGTGGGGTCCCTAAGTACACCCATTTTCTTTTCCTAAATAAATCAGTAGCTGCCCCTCACTCGTATGGATGGGGAAAATACAATCTGTATTTATTTATCTGAAACATTTTTATGCTGCCTTGCCACCCAGTCAGGGTCTGCAAGATGGCAAACATAAAAATATCTAAACAGTAAAACATTTAAACAAAGTACAATCAAAATACAAACTTCAATTAAAACACATAAACATTATAAGGAGGGCAAAAACTGTTATGATATGTAATATGAATATGTAATAGGTTACACTTGGCGGCACAAACTGCATTTTCTACACTATATGGCTACCCGCCCTTCTGCATTGGACATTTATAATGAAAGGTATTTCTCTAGAAAGGAATCTTATAGTGAGTGAATAAATAGGGCTTCCTTCTTTCCTCTAATCATGTGAGAAACTGAGTTCTCACATGTTTCTTTCTGTACCCCATTTCACCCTCTGTTAAGAGGATGCAAGCCTATTGCTCTCCCCTGGATGGCGCTCTGGCCTACTTAGCAAGGATCTCTACACACTCATGCCTTCCATCCTTGTAGTTTCCCTGCCCGTCCTTCTCCCTCTCAAGTTACAGGAAATCCAGGTAGCTGCCGCTCTCTCTTCCTCCCCCTGGTGGTAAGCCCTGCCTACCCCAGACACTTTCTAAGGATGTCAGTGACCTCTGAAGAGGTTGGATACCTCATTTTGGAAAACTCAGCAAGACCCTCTCTCTTTGGCCTTGTGAATGTCACTGTGAAGTACTCTATTCTGCCCTTGCGGGCTTGAAAAGCAAAGCATTATTTGAATGTGAGCGCGGCTGTTTCATCATGTAATCACATTTTGATCTTAATTTATCATTGCAGCCACAGCTTTCCTTCAAAGCCCAGGACCACAGGAAGGAGAAAGAATTCCTTTGAATTTCTATCTAACTTTTAAAAAATGTATAACTGGGTCATAA